TTCTGCTCCAATTTGTTGTAATATACAGTAATATAAAAGTTCTGATTTCAAGCATTTTAAAATGTACAGTTTAGTGATGTTAAATGCATTCATTGAGTTATGCAGCCATTGTCACCATCCATTTTTACAGTTCTTTGTCTGATAAAACTAAGACCCTAGACCCATTAAACTCTAAATCCCCAGTCGCTCTGGCAACCACATGCTACTTCCTGTCTCTATGATTTTGACTGCTCTAAAAACTCTCATGTAAGTGGTACCATATAGTATATGTCTTTTTATGACTATTTTATTTCACACAGCATAATGTCCTCAAGATTTATCCATGTCACTGCATACTGCAGAATTTCCTTCCTTGATAAAGCTGAATCATATTCCATTGCAGGTATACAACACAGTTTGCTTATCCATTTATCTGTTGATGAATACTTGGGTTGTTTCCACTTTTTAGAACCTCACTGACTCTTGGCCTTTGGACAGGGGGTTGGCAGGGCAAAGTGACCTTGTTTCCAGTAGACCTAAATGCCAAAAGGCAGAAAACATTTCAGATTGATCTAGAGGCATGTCCCTCATAAGCATTTATGTAGAAGTACCTTGTAAATATTTGGAACATTCTTTGTAAAGGCATATTTCATAGACTTTTCAGACCTAATGTAATAATGATTCTTGGAAATAAGCTTTTCTGCTTGTTTTCTTGGCTTGACTGTCTTTAATGGATTGTTGTGTCATCTGTTTAGAATCAGTATTTCAAGGATGAAGAAGAAAGCATTTTGGGTGAGAAATTATTACTGTAAAGTACTTTCAGCACAAGTGCCCAAAGTCATTTTCCATGCCCACTGCTTCAACAGGGACATACCATAATACATCTGACTCAATTCTCAAACTTGCTTATTGTCTGTAAATCAAATCAAGTACTGACTTTTTCCTTTTGAAGTTTTCTACCAGTTCATTGCAGGTCTTAGTAACTTATTTAATGAATCAGGTTTTTTTCCCTATTACAATGTTAATTAGCTATTTTATACCTTTGGGTGGAGGTAAAAATGTGTTAGGTATAGCCAGATTGTTGTTAGGTCAAGATTTATGTCAGAGAAAAATCATTAGAAGTATATATAATTGACACCGTTTGGTAAGCACCAGGAGGGAAGGGTATATACATTTCATATGTAGTAATTCTGTGTGTATGTACACATATGCTTATTATAAAAGCAAGATTTCAAATTTTATCTGGAGACAAAGCAAAATATTTAGAGAATAAAAGGCATTTGAACAATGTTTAAACTATGGTTTGACATAGACTTAACTGAGCAATATGTATATGAAGAAATAAGTTAGTAGATTTATTTAAAACTTAATTGTATCTTTTAACTAGAAGATGTCAGGGATTTTCTTTTCTTAGCAAACACTCAGTAAATTTGATCTTTGTTGGGATTGAACCCATGGCCTCATGTGTGGTAAACACAGACTAGGCACATACTAAGCATACCCCAACCCCCAAATTGACACTTCGGTATATAGTTCTATGATTTTTAAAAAATAAACTTCCTTCTAAACATAGTTTTAGATTTATAGAAAAATAGTACAGGAAGCATAGAGCTCCCAAATGTATCATTCTCTCTTCCAATTTCTTCTATTATGAAGATCTTGTACTAGTGTGATATATGTGCCAAAATTGATTATTCAGTACTGCTAAACTATAACTCACTAAAGTCCAAACATTATAATAGGTTCACACTATTAGACAGTTCTATGAATTTTGACAAATGTATCGCTGTTACATGTATCCGCCATTACAGTGTCATACAAAATAGTTTCATTTCCCTAAAAATCTCATTTCCATCTGCTCATTGCTTTCTCCATTCCCCTTGTCCACAGGCAGGCAAGATGTGTTTACTGTTTCTAGTTTTTGCTTTCTTCAGAATGCCATACAGTAGGAACCACAATATGTAACTTTTTCAGACAAGCTGCTTTCACATAACAATATGAATTTTGGGTTTTTTTATATCTTTTCATCACAGTTTATCTGTTGACTTACTGAAGTATCTCTTTTTTTCCCCAAGTTTTGGCAGTTATAAATTTGCTGTAGATATTTGTATGTAATTTTTTGGCCTGAAGTTTTCAACTTATCCAGATAGATATCTAATAATACAATTGCTGAATCATGTAGTAAGCCTGTCTTTACCTTTTGCAAACTATAGTATCTTCACAATTGGCAGTGTCATTTCACATTATCACTAGCAGTGAACAAAAATCACAATTGTTTGTATCCTCATAGCATTTTGTGTTGGGGAATGGGATTCTTGTTATTCTAATAGATGTACAGTTGTATCTCATTTTGGTTTTAGTTTATAATTCTCTGATGACATTATGTTAACTATCTTTTCATTAGCTTATTTTCTTCCTATGTATCTTCTTTGGTGAAATAGCTGTTTAGATCTTTGTTCCATTTTTTTAATTGGGTTGTTTGTTTTCTTATTGTTGAGTTTTAGGGTTCTTTGTGTATTTTAAATACTAGTCTTTTATCAGACATGTTTTGCAAAGATTTTTTACCATCTGAGGCCTGTCTTTTAATCTCTTACTAGTGTGTCTCACAGACTAGTTTTTAATATTAGTGAACTTCCAAATTACAATTTCTTTTTTCATGGATCTTGATTTACGGACTTTTTAAATTGACTTCTTTCACATAGCATAATGTTTTCAAGGTTCATTTGTGTTGTACTCTATATCAGTACTTAGTTTCTTTCTGTTGTAAAACAAAATTTGACTTTTTACATTGTATTTATTCATCCATTGATGGACATTTGGTTGTTTATACTTTCTGGCTATTATGAATAATGCCGTTTCAAGGTGCCACCTCTCCAGACATGCATCTGATTTTGGTGTTACATCTGAAAAGTCACCTAGATTTTCTCCTATATTACCTTCTAGATGTTGTATAATTTTTTATTTTACATTGAGATGTGATCTACTTGAAGCTATTTTTTATGAAAGGGGGAGGATCTATATTTAGATTCATTTATTTTTTTTTCTATGTTTGAATAGTGATTTCAGCATCATTTGTGTAAAGATTGTTCCTTTTTTATGAATTGCTTTAGTTTCTTTGTCAGAGATCATTTGACTGTGTTTATGTGAACCTATTTATGGGCCTTGTTGCATTGATCTGTTTTTGTATTCTTTTACTCATAGGATACTGTCTTTTTTTATAGTAAACCTTGAGATTGGGAACTGTCACCCCTCCAACATTTTTTTTCTTCCCAAGGTTGTATTGGCTATCCAGAATCAATTTGTTGATAGTCTTATGGCACAAATAGTAGATTTTACCCCCTTGGGCATAGTTCTATAGTTCTCTGAGGTCTTGTTCTTTGTATTTGATTTCAGTATATTTTCTTTGTTGGGTAGTCTCTATTCTGTTTTCTAGCTAAGACTATTTTTTCTGTCTTCCATTCTGCCTTTGAACTCATTCCCTGAGATTTTTGCTCTAGTTATTTGTAGTTCTAAATTTTCCATTTGGCTCTTATATCTTCTGTATCTTTACTAAGACATTCTGTTTCTTTGGTCAGGCCTCCTGTTTTTTCATGTGTTTCACGCATGTTTTAAATGCTGTTGAAGCATTTTTATGATGGCAGTCTTCAGGTCTTTGTCAGATAATTGTAACGTGCCTGTCATCTCAGTGTTGGCATCTACTAACAGTCCTTTTTCTCTTACTTTGACATCTTCCTGATTTGGGGTTATGAGTAATTTTTGATGGAAACTTGGACATTTTGGAGTAATGGTATGAATCTCTGGATATCATTTAAACCCGTTGTTTAGTTAGCTTCCTCTGGCATCTCTCTACTGAGGGAAAGGAAGTACTGTTTCATTACCACCTGGAGGTGTAGAAATCCAGATTCCTTCCGCATGTAGGCTGAGGAGGAAGGACGAGCGTTCGTTAATGCTGGCCAGGAATAGGAGTTCCAGCTCTCCCCTAGACCTCCACTGATACCTTTTGGCTGGAAGAAGTAGGCGTGCCTCTTTGCTGCTCTCTACCCGGCCACTGCTTGTGTCACAGGGAATAGGATGTTGTCATTGATGCTGAGTGTTGCTGAAAGTTCTGACTCCACTAGGGCTCCTCTGATACCACTGGGGAGAAAGAACATTATTTCAGTACTGACAGGTAGGTGGTAAAAGTCCAGGCTTCCCATGTGGTGCCTGCATGGGGCCTTGTTGGCTGCTGCTGGGCAGGGGTGAAAAGCTTATATTATGATATCAGCAAATACCTTTTCTAAAGTGGGCTGGGTATTAGAGCATCTTGGTTCAGCTTACTGCGAGTGGAAATGTACTTTTGTTTCTATGGATATGCCTATTCTGGACATTTCTTACGAATGGACCTATATAATATATGGACTTTTTAAATTGACTTCTTTCAACATAGCATAATGTTTTCAAGGCTCATTTGTGTTGTAATATATATCAGTACTTAGTTTCCTTCTGTTGCAAAACAAAATTTGGTTATATAGATTTACCACATTTTATTTATTCATCCGTTGATGGACATTTGGTTGTTTATACTTTCTGGCTATTATGAATAATGCTGCTTCAAGGATTTATGTTCAGGTTTTTGTGTGGACGTGTTTTTCATTCTCTTTGTACCTGAGAGTGGAATTGCTAGTTCCTATGGAAACTTTTTTAGAACACCTTTTCACCTTTTTTAGAACACCCGTTCTTTTTAGTAATAATTTCTAGGCTTGTATTATAATATCAGCAATGGGGCCTGCGATGTTTTGTTCTGTCTTTTGGGTTCTCAGAACTGTCTCTAGAATTAAGATTAATATCTACCCTTGGTTATTTATTTCTAAATTTTTCCATTAAAATAATAGCAGCTGATAATTAAAGTTACTTTAAAGATCTCAAGAGATCTATAGAATTGATGACTATTAAACTATCCTTCACTTAAAGTATTGTGAATGTATAATTCAGAGTAATGACTTTTTATATTCCCAAATTTACCTGTGATTTTATTTATTTAGAAAAAAGAAAGTGAATGCCTACAATTAAAAATTTTGGTGCTTCAAAATGAACTGGAAAGACAGAAGAAAGCTTTGGGACAGGAAGTGGCATTACTGCATAAGCAACAAATTGCACTAAAGGACAAAGGTGGGTAGAACATCATACACACAGCATAACCTTCACATTGAGTAGATTCTTCTTTCTTGTAGGCTCAAATACTGATCTTTGCATAAACACTGATAGAAGTTTAATTTTAATTTTTATTTTTAATTTATTTTTTGTTTTTTTTCCGGTACTGGGAACTGAACTCCCAACCTTGCTCTTGTCAGGCAGGTGCTGTGCCGCTGAGCTAAATCCCCAGCCCCAGAAGTTTAATTTTTAAAGTACTTTTTGGACTATTTTGAAGTTGATAGATACAGAAAAGTGTATGACTTGAAATTTCCCAATGTGAACACACCCATGGAAGCAAAGTCTCAACCAGAAAAGCATTGCCAGGAGTCCTCGTTTCAGAAACCTTCTCTTACTCCCTTCCAATCACTGCATCGCCAGCTAGAATAACCACTGCTCTGGCTGGTTTGGCCTGTTTTTGAACTTTGAGTCCTCTGTGTGCATTTTGCATGCCAGCTTTGCCAATATTATGTTAGATTCGTTCTTACCTTCACATAGTTATAATTTGTTCATTCTTAATGTCAAACAGTATCCTATTCTGTGAATATGAATTTATTTGTTTACCTTTCTTGTTGGTTTTAGTAATTTCCACTTTGGCATTGTTATAGTTAATGCCTCTCTGAGTATTCCAATACATTTCTTAATGAATATGTTTGTGGGTATTTGTATGGAAAGCTAGGGGTAAATTTTTAGCCTCATGTGATGTACTATTTTCAGTTTTAGTAGACTGTATTTAAAACATTTTCAAAATGGTTTTCTGTTTACCTTCCCTCCACCTATTAGTGGTTTTGTTCTCCATCTTTGTCAGCATTTAGTACTTTGTCTTTTTTGTTTTAGTTTTACTGGTAGGTATGGTATAGTGCCCTCTTGCAGTTGTAATTTTTATTTTCCTGGAGATTAATAAATTGAACACTATTTTATATGTTTTGTACTAATTCACTTTTCTGGGAATTACCAGTTGAAACCTTTGCCTAGTTTTTAATTACTTGGATTAACTTATTTTAAAGAATTGTTTGGCATATGCATTACAATTACATTCTTCTCTTCTGTAGCTTTAAATGGGCAGAAGTTCCACTTTATCAATCTTTTGCACTTGAGATTATTTTGTGCGTAGTTTAAGAAATATTTCTCTACTTTTGGTTCACAAAGACATTCTGTATTTTCTCTTACATGCTTTGCTGATGTTTTACATTTACATCCTTGATTTATCTGGAGTTTATCTGAATGTAATGTAAGAGTTAAAATTATTTTTTTGCATACAGATGATTAATTGCCCAGCACTACTTATTGACAATCATCTTTTCTCCATTACACTGAAGTTTCACTTTTTTTTTTTTTTTTTTTTTTTTTTGTTTTTCTCCGGTACCGGGAACCGAACTCACAACCTTGCACTTGCCAGGCAGGTGCTTTGCCGCTGAGCTAAATCCCCAGCCCCTGAAGTTTCACTTTTGTCATAAATTAGTTGACCATATATATATATTTGTCAGTCTGGGAAGGGCCCTCTGTTTTGTTCCTTTGATCTATTTTTCTACCATTATCACACCGTTTTAATTTTCCTCATATCATAATAGGCCTTGATATGTGTTAAAGTTGGTTTACTTCAAGATGACCTTAGTTATTTTTGTCCTTTTGCATTTTCATATTAACTTATATAAAGTAAAGAAAGCCTGACCAGGACTGTGATGAAAGTGCATTGAACATATATACCAGTGTAGTAGAATTGTTAAAACATAGTCTTCCATCCCAAGAAAATGGCATGTGCCTTTGTTTATTAGATCATTTTTGCAAAAACACTATTAAAATGAAATAGTTATTAGTTGTGTAGGTTTTTTTCCATGATTAATTGAATTTATTTTGAACTTTTGATGTTTTATAGTACTATTGTAAATACCTTTAAATTTTATTTCCTATTTGTTGGCTCAGTATAAACAAGTGATTTAAAAAGTGATATTAATTTTTATTTTGTTATGTTCAAAGGAAAATTCACTACAAGCTTCATAAACAGATGAGCAGTTGTTAATGTTGTTAATGTTAACGTTAGCAGTTGTTAATGGCCCCACAGCTGCAGCTCTTGCTGTGATTATTTATGTTATAATTTAGCAATATTATAATCAAATAATTAAATTGTAGTTAATTTAAGCATAGTTTAAATTTAGTGACAGTATAAAGATAGCAATAGTGCAGAAAGTTTTAAACACAGATGAAGATGTAATTCATATAGAAGTTGACCACTTTAAAGTGTATAATTCAGTATTTTTTTATTCGTGGCATTGCTTCTGCAATGATAACAGTATTTCTGCTAACTTCTAAAAGAAAACGTATGAGCACTAGCCTACATTGTACGTTCCCCTTCCCCAGTCTTAAGCAGACACTCATCAACTTTCTGCCTCTATAGATTTACCTATTCTGGATATTTCATATTAACTGAATCATGTGATATGTGGTCTTTTATGACCAAATTCTTTTGTTTAGCATATTTTCAAAGTTCAGCCACATTGTAGTATGTATCAGTACTTCATTTTTCTATTGCCAAGTAAGTACTCAATTATATCAACATGGCACATCTGATTTATCCATTAATCGGTTGGCTCATCTGCATTTATGCTTTTGCTTAACTGCTAAGCGTGCGCTCTACCACTGAGCTATACTCCCAGTCCTTATTATGTGTTTTTGAAATGAGAATTAATTTTCATTTCCCTCAAGTACTACAATCATTAGAATGTTAGGATCTAATGTTGGTTGACATTCTGGTCCCTCGGTAAGTATGAGAAAGAGTGCTGCTGTTGGCTTCAATCCATAGCTGTTGGGAGTCTGTGTACACTGTGGTAATCAGTACTGGGGACTGCGAAAGAGAAAGATAGCTAGATACAGATAACCAAATTTATATACTAGTAGGTCCCGACCTACTTTTGGGGGACCCCTATTCTTCGTGGTGGTTGTACTTTGTAACTGGAGACATATCTATTTTATTACTTAGGCACTTGATTCTGAGCCCAAGAACTCAATTAAGATACAAAGTCAATAATATATGATAGCCTTGACTTTGATACTGATTCTTCTGAATGATAGTAAAGGAATTATTTAACTTCTGTACCTTTTTACACATCTGTTCAGTAAGGACAGCTGTGTCCTTAGTGTAACAGGGCCCATAATAGTGCCATAGGAATTAATTTGTATAAACATTAGGAAGAAACCAGGTGCCTATGATATATTTTATAGTTTTGTTTATAAAAATCATTATACCAGGATGATTTTTTTGGAAGAGACCGTGTAGATAATTTCTACCCAAGTGCTAGCTTGCTGAGTAGCCAGATAACTCCTAAGGGCCTTATTACTCCACACCCATTGGCTTTCCCTTCCCATACCTCAGAGGTAGTGGTTCTCAACTCGAGCTGTGCAACAGATCCAGCTGGATCATGAGCTGATCTTTTCAGCGTTAGCATTTGTTAATGTATATGTTTTCACTTCTGGAAGATATTAGTAGTTTAATTTATGATGTTTAATAAAAAGACTTCCCCTCATTAGTGTGTCGAGCCAAGGTACCATCCTAATAAATACATCTATTGTTTTAGAGGACCCGCTATCCAAACTTAACCCCCAAAGCAGAAAGATTGTTCAAAAAGAGAAGCAGCACTCTGTCAAAATGAGTAGGTTGGAAATTTAGTTTAAAAAACAATATGAAGGATTGTTCCTAAGGAAATATTTTCAGTAGAATGTAGGTCCTTATGAACAGATATTGATACAAATCCAAGAATACTTCAGGGGTCCCAGAAAGTGGTATTAATTTAATAAAGACAGAATTCACTCATCTTTGTAGGAAGAAGCTGCTTTTTTATGCAGTTAGTTTCTTGACAATAAGAACAGTGTATAACTTTATAGTTAGAAAGTGCTTATGCAGATTATCATCTTTGATCTTCAGCACATTCCTGAAAGTTAAGTAGGGCAGATATTGTTAACTTCATTTTATACTTGAGGTACTGTGAGGTAAATGACTTGTCCCGGAACACAAAAAATTGGGAGGAACTGGGATGTAGACTCAAATATTTTGGCTCCAAGTTCTGTGCTTTTCTCACTATTCTATATCCCCTAAAACCTTACAAAGTACATTTATTTGAATCCCTCATAAATCCTGTGAAGCAGCTTTTATTGAAACCTTGTAACATGTGAGATATTTTAGTTATGGTATATCATTTGATTCTTAAAATAGTTGTAAGAGAGAAGTTTTATTCCATTTTAACAAATGATAAGTAGTCCTGAGAGAGAATGTTTATTCCCTTTTCCCAAATAAGGAAAACTGTGGCTCAGAGACATTTCTCAAGGCCACAAGTAAGTGATAGATCCAAATTCAAATACAAATTTCTTTGACTCTAAAACCTCTCTATCTCCAGTACACAAAATATCACTGAGGCTTTCTCTAGCATATGTCTTAAAGGTAAACTGACAGTTTGCTATGTTTCCATTTGACCTATGGACCAATAGCTGGAGAACTTTTCGGTACTCTTCTTTTTCATTACAAGACAGCTGAAGTGGATTTTCCCTAGAGATTGTTTTGATTTGGTAGCATTCTAATTAATTAAGAAACCTGGACTAAAATTTGTGATTTTCTTATTTTGTTTTTAGAGGAGTCATTCAACCTTTTGGGGATTACTGTACTTTCTCTTCAGAAACAAAACAAAATTCTTCATTATACAGTGAGCATAATATCTTCCAGCTCTAAGATCCTCTTCATCTTATAAGGGTAGGGTTGGTAGAAAAGATGGGGATCTGTTCACCTTTTAGGAGAATCCCTTTCTTACTCAATAAATGGACCCCTCCCAAAAAAGACTATCTGACCCCAGTGTGTCTGTAATTGTGATCTATTAACTGAGAAGTCATTTGGTGGAGATGACCTTTTAAAATCTCTAAGCAGCCAAACTCTTTACTTAGATTTTTTGTTGCCTTTGGGAAGCAAGAACAAAAGCAAACACTTTTCTTTTGAT